GGACTTTCTCCTAAGAGGAAACAAACGCCAGCAAGAATTTGAGGAGCCGAATGAGTTTTTGTCAGCATTTCAATTGGCAGGTTGTCACATGGGCCAAGCCAAGTTCCAGCATTTCGCACACAGTGGGAAACATGAAGTATAATTCTCAGGAATTTAGATCAAACTGCATTTCAAACTCTTGTGCCTGTATAGACAGCTGCACCCATTGAGTGAAAGGTTCAGTTATGTTGGCCCCTGAATAAGTTGGCTTCAGCAGAGAGAATCTTCAGCGGAAGATTCAAAACAAAGTCAAACAACACCTAAATATTTAAAAATCCTCCGTCTATAAGAGCTGGAAGCCATTAATTTTCTAATTGCGAAGGCAGTTAAACATGCCGCTTGGTAAACAAAACCACTCTTCATTGCAATTCATTTTCCTTTGTAAGAGAATATTGCCAAGGGTTCTGAGGCTCCATCAAAAGCTGGGCTGTGTCAGGCAGAGAATAACAGTGGGGTGGGATTTGAATTTGATGTCTAGCGTCGGATGATAAAACTCACATTTAGAAAGGTGAAAATAATAATAAAAAAATTGAATAGGGGCAAAGATGTACCCTTGACTCTCTTTAAAATGGAAATTGAGGCAGAATATCTTCCAGTGGTGACACATGTCTTCCTCAATGTGTTTACATGAAGCAGTGTGATTAAACAGCATAAACCATGATTTCTGGCTATATGGTAGATCTCTATGTAGTGTGTTAGTTTCTCCCTAGTTTCAATGTGATGGTGTCATTTTGTGTCTATGGTCCAGCCTGCATGCTGGCTAAAAACGTGTAGCCTATTGGCACTGAAACCACCTTCAATTTCCAGAATTGTCATCTGTCTGGCTCCAATTCCTAGAAAACCTCGTTTCCCCCAAGAAGCTGATGCTATGAATGGTTGACTAGCCAGTCAGCTTGCAAATAAACTCAAAGCATATGGTGTTGGGGTTTTTTTTTGGTTCAACAGTGATGATGGTTACACTTGAAACCCTGCTCTGTCCGGCCTCGGCATAGTTTTTTTTTTCCATTTATTTTTATGTATTTTTTTGGGGGGGGTAGGCTATTGCTATCCAAGTGATGTGTAATGTAGCTTTCAAGATTGCCGGAAATGGTCTAGGGCAGGGGTAGTCAACCTTGGCTCTTTTATGATTCGTGGACTTCAACTCCCAGAATTCCTGAGCCAGCTGTGCTGGCTCAGGAATTCTGGGAGTTGAAGTCCACGAGTCATAAAAGAGCCAAGGTTGAATACCCCTGGTCTAGGGTTTCCTGCTTGAGCAGGGGGTTGGACTGGAAGACCTCAAAGGTCCCTCCCGACTCTGTTGTGCTGTAGATATTCCAGGAATAAGAGACGGCATCGTTCTGGTGGCAGGAAGCAGTGTGAGAACACTTTAGCCAATTGTGAAACTCCTGGCCCACTCTTAAAACTAAGGCCTTCTCCCAGTTCCCTGCCTGCAAGGTTTAAGGAAGCAGAGCCTGTCATAAACAGTTAAAAGTCAGCAACTTTATTGTCTTCTGCCCGTGTTAACAAGAATCTTACCAGACTGCTTGCCTTCCCTGGGAACAACCAGATAAGGCTTCACGGATCTTTGAGGAAGTCACGCTTCTGCCCTTTGCAGCTGCCTGATGATTCCAAGCTAGGTCCCCGTTTGACTCCTTCCAGTTTCCCAACGCCGCCTGCCCTTCTTCTCCCGATCACCTTTATCCGTCTCTGGAGAACTTTCCACTTTCCTGAGAAGAAAGCCACGGGCCCCTAGCGACACGGGCTTCCGGATACTTAGTTTAGCATTAATTGGTGTCTATTTTGTAGGTCCGTCCGAAGTGTCAGCAGCTGTGAGGTTCAGCAGGAGGCCCACCTGTCCTGATGCCTCGGTAGCGGCCGGCTTGCACACCCCTCCTGTCCCACGACACAGGAAGAGTCACAGCCTCGGAAACAAGTGGGTGTTGCAGTCTGAATTGGAACACGCAGCTTAGTTAGGTTTTTTTTTAAGGCAGCCCTTGAAAACTTGCTGCAACCAGCCACCTCTTCCTTAGGAAGCCGTTGCCTTTCTCTAAAGACAGTCCTCAATTTACAACAGTTCCTTTTGGTGACCCTTCGGCACTTGAAATAGTGACTTTTCACGCTTACGATCGTGTGATCAAAATTCTGACGCTTGGCAACTGACATGTACTTATGACGGTTGCAGAGTCCTGGGGTTCACTTTTGTGACCTTCTGACAAGCAAACACTTGCAGTGACACAACCCCTGCATTGATTCACTTAACTGTGGCAAGAAAGGTCGTAAAACGGGGCAAAACTCACTGAACAAAGGTCTCACTCAACGATAGAAATTTTGGCCTCCATTGTCGTAAGCCGAGGACTGCCTGTAGTTACTTGGCAAGGCTTCTTGTTCCTAGGAACACATTTGTCTCAGAATCCCCTTGCAGATGTTAGTGCCACTTTTTCCCAGGGAAATTGGGCAGATGCCAGAAAGAACTTTAATTGTCGTTACCACCCAAGTCAAGCCTACCTTACGGGCGCCATGTTGGCCTAAAAGGCGTCAGCCTTCCAGTTAAGGAATTTATGCTTCCAGCTTAGGGAGACGTGTGGCTTTCCCAGCGTGGTTGAGTGATTTCACTCAGATATGAATTCAGGTGGCAGAGTCTTGCAACCTGCACCTCTGTAGAAGCTTGAATAGTGGCCAACATCTGTAGCCCGGGTGGAGGATGAGGTTGGAGATTTGTTTTCCCAGCTTGTGGGTTGGTTTCCGAACGTTTTGTGACCAGGCTAGGTTGACCTCTTCAGCAGAGTTTAGGGGATTCCAACCCACAAGCTCGGAGAACTCAACTTTGCCCTTATTTGTAGAAATGTTAGAATTTCCATCCCTGGAAGGTTTTCAAGAAGAGATTGGACAACTTTGTCCAAGAATGGTAGGGGGGGGGTCTCCTGCTTGAGCTGGGGGTTGTAGAAGACCTCCATGGTCCCTTCCATCTACATCAGGGGTAGTCAACCTTGGCTCTTTTATGACTCGTGGACTTCAGCTAAGCTGGCTCAGGAATTCTGGGAATTGAAGTCCACGAGTCATAAAAGAGCCAAGGTTGACTACCCCTGCTCTACATTATTCTGTTAGGTAAAGGCCAAAATCTCCATCTAGATTTGACTAATAGGTGCTAAAAACCAATGTTGGGGGCGATAGATCATTAGAACGAAGTTCTAAGAAGGACAGGAGAGTCCATCGGGCTACTTTGCCCCTAAGGCAGGGGTAGGCGACCTTGGCTCTTTTATGACTCATGGACTTCCGCTGGCTGAGGAATTCTGGGAGTTGAAGTCCACGAGTCATAAAAGAGCCAAAGTTGCCTACCCCTGCCCTAAGAACCCTTAAGAACCCCGTAAGGTCCACTGAACCCCGTAAGGTCCAACCCTTAAGAACCCCGTAAGGTCCACAGTCCAGGCGGGGAAAAATGTGAGCATGAATGGCTGTTACCAGTTGACCTAAGAAAATGTTGCCTCTTTTTTTTTTTCATTCCTTCCTTCCTTCCTTCCTTTCTTTTTTTTCCCGTTTTTCCAGTATGATGTGTCAGTTCAGTGTAGTAGAAAGTAAAAGCGCCACCTTCCCAACAGAGAAACAGCGCCACCTGCTGGATGACAGTGTGTTAGAATCTCACAGCCCTGTCAGGAACCATCCGCTAAATTCTGTTTTCACCAATGGGGTTTCTCTAGGTAAGTATCCAACATGGTAGCTTGGGCGCTCGTCCTGCCCATCCCTTCTTTCTTTGGAAGTCAAAGAGGCGTTCAGAATGACCGAATTGGGAAAACTCAGATAGTCCCTTGAGTTTGGCCGTTCTCGATTCTCTCGAGCATTGTTTAGAAGGCAGGCGAATACAAGCCACGCTTCTAAGAACGATACTCTTAGCAGGAAGGTGCCCTTCCATACTTAATGGAAACAGAGAGCTGGCTATAGATTCCTTGTTCGAAAAAAAAGATCCATCCTAGAAGTCAGGAGAAATTTCCCGACAGAGAGAACAGTTAATCAGTGCCTCCAGAAGTTGTGGGTGCTCCATCACTGGAGGTTTTTAAGAGATCGAATAACCATTGGTCCAGAATAGTATAAGGTCTCCTGTCTTGAGTAGGGGTTGGACTAGGAGACCTCTGAGGTCCCTAGGATTCTACATTCTAGAAGGTAGAAGGCAAGACCGCAAGGGAGCTATCGGTTGAGAGATCCTTGGGGGCTTTCATGGTCTACTGTAGCATGAGTTTCTGATTAAGCTACTTGTGAAGCCTTGAGCACTATCATTCCATATCATCTAGTCAATCAATCAATCAATCCCGAATGATGGTCATGTAGAAAATCCCCTAGACACCACATTAACATTTTAGATTAATTTAGCCTTCCTGAACAGGGAAAAAAAGAGTCGTTACGGTGGCTACCACTGAACAATACATCTAAGCCACAGACAAGCCAAAAATCTAAATTACTCCATTTTCAAAAGAAAAAAAACCCCCAACCCATTTGATCGTCCAAGACTCAACTTTAAATTCCCTTCCGGTGAATTTGATGGGATTGCATTGATTTTTAAAGACCCTCCTTCCATATTCAGATAATCATGGGTGCAAGTAGGGCATCTCCTTAATTTTCCATGACACCAACCCATCAGTTCATGTTCTCCATCTCATTTAAAGGAAAATCTTAACATCTCTCTGTCGTTTCCTTTTTCTGCGGCTGGAGGCGGGATTTTACTGGAACCCGTAAACTGCAAATTTATTTATTTTCAATTGGTAGAATTGCCGGAGGACAATCTCGAAAATAAGGACAACTTTAAAGCTTCCTTAAAATATTTGCACGCGACTGCAACACTTTTGTGGCTCGGAGTTCCATCAGCATGAAACCGAGGATCAGTTCCTAACGCAAATCTTTTGGCTTCTGAAAGGGACATAGACCTGTTTCGAATTGTTGTTGTTTTTTGTCCCCTTCCCCCTGTTTTAAATATTTGCCTTTTTGTTTTGCAGAAAGCAGCGAAAGTTCAGAATTCAGCGAAGAACCGTCATCGGGACTGGAAAGGTGAGTTTCTGTTTGTGAATCGATGGGACATAGCTGCATTTCAACCCAGGCTACTGAAATCCTGGATAATCTGAATTACGTGAATTTGGATCGTGGGTTTATGCAAATCTAGTTATTGGGAAGAAATGCTGTCCCTCTAAACATTTTCTTTATCTGTGGCTGTGAACGTACTGTGAACTTTGCAGTGGTTTCTTACGTACATTGCATCTAGCAGTAGACTAGATTGTCAAGTGGCATCAAGCTTTAGAATAAATATTTCCAAATCTGCTTTAACCAGGGTGCACAATTTCTCATTTACTAGCACCAAAGGTAATACTGGATTGTCGATGAGAACCCACAATCTCACTCTGTTTCCTTTTCCATCTGTATCTGGGCTCCGGGTGAATCCCCTTTGAGTAGGTTTTTTTGTGTGTGTGTGATTCTAGATTCATTTCTTATACCAGAATCTCTTTTCCGCCCTGTAAAATCTTGAGTTCTTAACCGGGAGTGACAGACCTGGATTTGTTGTTGTTGTTTTTAATAAAATATTAAAATAAAATACCTTTTCGAATTGGAAGACGGGAATCCCAGTTTCCGAGACATGTGGAGCCAAAGATCTGGATTCAAACCTCAGAGGAGAATTAATTGAACTTGAAATATTGGCCTGGTTTGTTTTATTCGGCAAGGAGTCATAACTCTGCGTGTTTTATTGGCAACATTTGGGCATTTCCAGCAAGGGAGCTAAGTCAGACTGGCGTGTCCAAGATTGGAGGAGAGATTTTTATAGGTTTACATTATAATTACATATCATTTGTGGATCAGAGTCTTGATTTCTTCAAAGGGAGGAACCGGGTCTGCTTACGATCAAGGCCTTGTTTATTCAGCTATAATCAAACCCACTCTTTGCTTTCAATGGGAGGTCCCACCGTTCGTTCTCGGCTCTGGAAACAGATTCTGAACACTCACAGTTGTTCTTCTGATTTTTGGTGTGTTTGTTTCCAGGATATTGTTCTTAGCTTTGTACTTGACAAATTTTCTTTCCCACCCACCCCCCAAAAGCTCTCTTATTCCCAAGCTGCTCTTCAAAGTCCTTGTGAAGCTTAGAAATTAAATTTTTTTTTAAAAAAAGAACGCGATTCACCAAGAAACAGCTTCCTTCATTTCTTATGGACATCTGATTCCAATTCCGAATCGAATGCTCATCTTACTTAGTTCACACCTAGGTGCAAACCGTGAGAATGTAGAAGCCGTCGTGAAAGCCGTGATTCCGTTGTGTATACGGCCCACCTTTTCTCGTGGGTTTAATTTTAGGGGGGGGGCTATTGCGATTTTGCATGCTAACTAAAGAACTTAACGTGTGAATTCGTAAACAGGGGTCGCTTGTACGCCACGCTGGGGCCCAACTGGCGGGTGCCAATTCGGAATTCTCCAAGAAGTCGGAGCTGTGTGTACAGGTACAATTAGGTGGTGGGTCTCTCTCTCTCTCTCTCTCTCTCTGGACAATGGTGCCAAATCTTATTTTCATCCTCTCTTTTCCCCTTGCTAATTCAGACCTTATTTTCAAAAGCATGGTCATTTTTCCCCCCATCTGCGCAGTGTCTTCCTTCTCATGTTAGCGGGGAGGGGTGTGTGCCAAGAGTTTAAAAAAAACACCTGCATTTTTACTCACCTCTGTGCTTTTTACCTCCACGCCTCCAGAGAAGTTGGATTGGCTATATTTACGTGCAACGTTACACATAAACATGCTGAGTAGAAATAAAAAAACTGTTATAGTATTTGAACAAGGGATAGACAGTAAAGAAGAAGTATAGAATCGCTCAGATTTAAGCACATAATAAACCCTGATGGTTTTGCTCTAGTAGTGGCCTCTCAAGTGGATGCTTTGAATAGCAAACAGTTGCCTTGCAGGTCCAAAGAAGCCACATATAAACATCTCTCTAAAGAGTGAAGCTACCTAAATTAAATTTAAACTCTCATGCTTGCAGGGAGTTTAAGTTTACTTTAGATAGATTCATCTTTACCTTTGGATAGGTTTAACTCTCTTGGAGTACAAGATAATCAACTCGGCCTCAAGTTGATCCTTCTCGGATGCCAAATCAGATCACTAAAACAGGGATCGTGTCCCTGTGATTTACTATTTAGTGGCATGATGATGACTTGAAACTGCGATGCATTTCGGTCAGCAAAAGCTGGATCTAAAACGTCTCGGCGTGGCAATCACTTCACGCAACAGGAAAGCAAAATAAACTGTTTTTCCCCGGAGTTGAGGCAAGGTGGCGTGCCAGGGCCTTACTTAAATGCTTCCCAAATAGGAATGAAGCTCAGACATACCGGTCTATCTGAATTAAGAATAAAAAGGGTAGACATTGTAATCATTTGTTCTTCCCAACGCAAGTTTGCATATCTTACTCCTCTTCCTCTTTTTCTTCATCCTCCTCCTCCTCATCAACCACATTTAATTCTTTTGCTAAACTCAGTTTTTGGCAGGGCTTTGAAAATTCCTCACTGAGGACTTGTGAATTGCGTGGAGGAGAAAAACTTTCCCACCTTTGAAAGGATCCCTCGCTCAAGTCCATTTTCCATTTCAGCCCTTATTTTGTCTACCTTTCGTTCATCACTCTCTTTGTCTTTTGAGTAAATATTTTCAAACCTCTTTACCAGTTTCTATACGTATTCCTCCCCTTGGCTAGTATGCTAAAAAAACATTATTACTTTTTTTTACTAATACACCCGCATACAGTATACGGTCTTCTAGCACTAATGATGTTACCTAGTTGGGTTAGGAAATGTCTGCAAGGAGACCAACAAATTCAAAGAGCAGTAAGGACCCCAGAGGCACTAAAATACCAGTCTTAGAATACAAAGGCAGTTCGTCAAATATAGAAGAAGAAGAAGAAGAAGAAGAAGAAGAAGAAGAAGAAGAAGAAGAAGAAGAAGAAGAAGAAGAAGAAGAAGAAGAAGAAGAAGAAGAAGAAGAAGAAGAAGAAGAAGAAGAAGAAGAAGAAGAAGAAGAAGAAGAAGAAGAAAGGAAAGAAAGAAAGAAAGAAAGGAAGGAAGAAAGGAAGAAAGAAAGAAAGAAAGAAAGAAAGAAAGAAAGAAAGAAAGAAAGAAAGAAAGAAAGAAAGAAAGAAAGAAAAAGAAACTTTTAGGGTCCCCATTTAGAAGAAGACAGATTACACAAGCCAAGGGTCCCATCAATATCAATTTTGCATGCCACTGTAATGGAAGAATTGTCTAATCTGCACTGCTCCCACAAACCTGTGTACTTTTCTTGCTTCAGCCCAACAGGTGCCTGCAGCTGCAGATCGGGGGCTTCCGTGGGGGTTGTGACGATGGAAGGCCCCCTGAGAAGAAAGACAATGCTGAAGGAAGGCCGGAAACCTACGGTAACCCCCTCAATGATTGCTTTGACGGTAGCAAAACATGGATGCCCGCCATTTACCTGGGCAGAAGCGTCCATGGGTGCTACGTTTCCATTTCAATCAATGGAGCAATATGGCGGCGCTCCTCTTCTCCTTAATTAAGTTAATGAGACTGGGAAGCTGATCGTGGGTGGCACAAAAAACATCTGTACCAATTAGAGGAGAATTTCTGTAGCTCCGGGTTGAAAGGTGGAGTCCTTTAGTGCTCATTGGGTTGTTTTCTTGTAGACGCTTCGTGACCAACTTAGGGGACCTCATCAGTGCTACCATCGCTCTAGCACTGATGATGTTGTCTAGTTGGGTAAGGAAACGTCTGCGAGGAACCAGCCAACCTCAAAGAGCACCAAGGACCCCTCAAACTTATCTGTCCTTGTAACTGAACTTTGATTGACACCCAGGTGGAGTAAAGCTCTTTTACTCTTTCTGATAAACAGTGAGCAAAGATACAGGGACTCTCCCCTTTTCCCCATTGTTTCCACTCAGAAAAAGAGCGATGGGGACAAGGAGGCCATGGACGGCTCTTTCCCAAGCTGTTGTGGTGGGGAACAAACACTAAAAGGGCGTAGAAAAAGCACCGAAAAATAAAACTGTAACACG